TGCTGACGGGTGCTACGAACACTACGGGGAAGTCGACATTTCACAGGTGGGTGCACCTGCTAATCTTTCTGGGAGGTTTGAGGCCAGCTGGGGGGATCGTTGAGGGATTGCCGGGATGGTGCTAAGAGCCATCTTGGGAGCTCAGAGTGGAGCCGAGGTGTGGAACGGCAGTGCCCCTGCCGTAGCGCATCCCTCCTGTCACATTTATCCCTGTCCCGTTTGCTTCGGGTGGTGGGTGAAACCCTGTGGGGTGGGTTAGTGTCTTTTTCCGGGCGTGCTACGGAGGCGACGGGGCTCGATGGCGTTGTTTTGGTCAGCCCCGTTGCAACCGGCTGTTAAAGGCTTCAGGTTTGCCTCGATTCGGGTGTGATTTCAGAGCGTCCAGCAGAACGGCTCCATCTACATCCACGTGTACTTCACAAAGAGCGGCTTCCATCCCGACCCCAGGCAGAAAAACCTCTACAGGCGCCTCGCCACTGTTCACACATCGCGAAGTACGGCCCGGGGCGGGAGGGCAGCGTGTTGGGGTGCTGGGGAAAGGGGCACCCCAGTTCCCCTGTCAAAATGGGAGCCTGAAGGAGTCAGGCTGAGTTCCGGCTTTGGCTGGTGCCTGAAGGGGAAAATTAAGGCAAATATCTGATGCCCCGTGGCCTCCTGCGCGCTGGCTCCGCTGCTCTCCGAGCTGGATGTTTTCTACACTTGGAATTTGTCTTTTGCGAACCTGTGGAGGAAAAAAACTCTTTAAATCTCTGCAAGCTCTTGGTTTCCATCCACATCGTGCTGGCGGTGGGGTCCCTACCTGTATGGGGGTTGCGGAACCACACCACTGTTGAGAAGGGGAAGAAATTGCCATGGTTAGGTCTTCCTGCAGGACGGGAAGATCTGGACATTTAATCTCGTGTGTTTTCCTCCAACAGAGATGCAATCCCCTCGAAGGTTTGGCTGTTAATCTGGTTTATTGGCCCCAAACTACAGCCTTTCCCTTTGATAACTGGAAGATCTGTGAGCCCGTCCAGATTAATTAGTCCTCCTGGGGGGGGATGTGTCGTGAGGGAAATGGGTTTCTCCAGTCAGCTTGTGCCTGTCCTGGCAGGCCGTAGCCTCCTTTAGATTTCCTTCCCCGCCTTCTTGTGCAGAGCTGGAAACGCTCACCTCTTTACTTCCAGTGATCAACAAATACAAGCGCCGGCGGTTCCAGAAAACCAAGAACCTCCTGACAGGCGAGACGGAGGCAGACCCTGAAATGATCAAGGTAACCAGCTCTGCCTTTTGGTGCCCTTTGGTGCCCTTTGGTGCCCTTTGGTGCCCTTTGGTGCCCTTTGGTGCCCTTTGGTGCCCTTTGGTGCCCTTTGGTGCCCTTTGGTGCCCTTTTGGTGCCTTTTGGTGCCACATTGGCCAAACTGCAAAATAGTAATGCGCCTGCAGCTGATCTGTTGGGAAGCGCTGCAGAGATTCCTCCTCCTGCCTGGGGCATGTCCTTCCTGCTCTGCAGAGGGGGAAGAGGAGGAGGATTTTATTCTAGCTTTTCCAGGCCGGGAAGGTTGGCTCTGCCCCTTCCCGCTCCTCGCTCTGGTGCCTTGTTTAAGGGCGGGGGATGGCGGTGGGTGAGACGGAGGGACGCCAACTGCCGTGCTGGTGACAGAGGCGGTGCTATTCTTGTTTCAGAGGGCGGAAGACTATGGTCCTGTGGAGGTCATCTCCCACTGGCACCCCAACTTGACCATCAACATGGTGGACGACCACACGCCCTGGGTGAAGGGCAGCGTGCCACCCCCCTTGGACCAGTGTAAGGGCTGGGGTGCGCCGCGGCTTTCTGAGGCTGGCCTGACTGTCTCCTCTCCTTGGAGGATGTATTTGGGCTTGTGGAGGGGGGAGCAGGGGCTCGTTTCTCCGGCGCCAGCATGACTGTCCCCCTCCCCACCTCTCCGGGAGCTTGGGCCGGGGTTCACCAGCCTCTTGGTCTCTCCCAGTTGGCTGCTGGTGGTGACAATGGCTCTCGCGGCTCCCCGTCGCCTGCTCAGCCCTCCCTCTGCTCTTTCTCCCGGCTCCAGATGTGAAGTTTGACGCCATCAGCGGTGACTACTACCCCATCCTCTACTTCAATGACTACTGGAACCTGCAGAAGGACTATTTCCCCATCAACGAGACCCTGCAGCGCCTGCCCTTCCGCCTCTCCTTCTGCCCGCTCTCCCTGTGGCGCTGGCAGCTCTACGCCGCCCAGAGCACCAAATCCCCGTGGAATTTCCTAGGAGAGGATCTCTATGAGCAGTCAGATGAGGAGCAGGACTCGGTGAAGGTGAGAACAACTCGTGGAGTTCCCTCTGCCTCATGCCCGACTGGATCCCGCCCTGGTGGGATGGGACGTTGAGCAGCAGGAGGGTGGGATGGAGCCTTGGGGAGGTTTTTGATGCTCATTCCAGGTTGCTCTCCTGGAGACGAACCCCTACTTGCTGGCGCTGACCATTGTTGTCTCCATCGTGCACAGCATCTTCGAGTTCTTGGCCTTCAAAAACGGTGAGCGGCAAGGGGAAGGTGATGAAGGCGGTGGCACCGCCTCCCCCTTGCTCCTGCTTCCACTTCTCCCTGCTTGCGACGTCTTTCAGCAGACGTAGCCAAATCCAGCTGCCTCCTGGGCAGGCTGTGGTGTGCACCGAGGCACCCAGCGCTCCTCTGGGCTGACTTCGAGGGCAGAAAGCTGGAAACTTGGGGTTTTTTTGGGTCCCCTGCCGCCTGCATTGATGCCAGATGGTGGTTTGCTGTGGTTGCTCGGCTCCGTTGTGCACCACCAGCTCCTTTCCTTCCACCGGGCTGCCGTAGTTCTCCAGATTGGGGGGGGTTCCCCTTCCCCTCCAGTGGGGTAACTGGGTCCCTTCCACCAGACATCCAGTTCTGGAACAGCCGGCAGTCTCTGGAGGGACTATCCGTCCGCTCCGTTTTCTTCGGCGTCTTCCAGTCCCTTGTCGTCCTTCTCTACATCTTAGACAACGAAACCAACTTCGTGGTGCAAGTCAGCGTCTTCATCGGGCTCCTCATTGATCTCTGGAAGATCACAAAGGTCATGGATGTCCGGGTAAGTGCTGGGGTGGGCTTGGGGGGGGGGTGTGTGTGGCAGTTCTGGTGGTGCCCCCAGACCTGCTCGGTGACATCGTTCCCTTCTTTGCCAGCTGGACCGTGAGAACAAGGTGGCAGGAATGTTTCCCCGCGTCACCTTCAAAGACAAATCGACCTACATTGAGTCTTCCACGAAGGTGTACGATGACGTGAGTTGGGGGGCATGTGCCGGGGTGGGGGGGTCAAACACCTCCCCTTGTTTTTATCTTCCCCCCAGTTCCAGCACTGGGGCTCAGGTGGTGATGTGGGGGCTGCGGCCATGGCCCAGCAACAGGGTGGGGGCTCTGGCACCTTCCCAGCTGATTTGTGGGTGGTATTTTTGTGTTGTGTGTGTGTGTGTGTGTGTCCTTGCAGATGGCTTTTCGGTACCTCTCATGGATTCTCTTCCCCCTGCTGGGATGTTACGCCGTGTACAGCCTGCTCTACCTCGAGCACAAGGGTTGGTACTCGTGGGTTCTGAGCATGCTCTACGGCTTTCTCCTGACCTTCGGTGAGTGCCAAATGCCAGAAAAATGCCCCCCACCCAAAAAAAGCTATTTCCCCACTCCCCCCTTCATTATGCTCACAAGGACCCCCCCCCCGCCCTTTTCTTTAGGCTTCATCACCATGACCCCCCAACTCTTCATCAACTACAAGCTGAAGTCGGTGGCCCACTTGCCCTGGCGCATGCTCACCTACAAAGCCCTCAACACCTTCATTGATGACCTCTTTGCCTTCGTCATCAAGATGCCCATGATGTATAGGATAGGCTGCCTACGGGATGGTATGTTTTTGGAGGCGGGGGGGGCTGTCTGGGCATCCCTCTTAGTCTCAATACCTTCCCTCTTCTTTTCCTGCCCCGCCTCCCTCCAGATGTCGTCTTCTTCATTTACCTCTACCAACGTTGGATCTACCGTGTCGACCTCACACGCGTCAACGAATTTGGCGTCAGCGGGGAGGACCAGGTTGCCCCCCGACCCCCCTTACCCCCCAGCCCCCCCACAATGCTGCCCACGGGGGGACCCCCAGGGGGGGAAAAACCCCCAGAGGACAAGAAGAAGGATTAACCGACCCCCCCATCCCCCTCGCTTGGTTTTTACCAAAGCCGGCTGCCCTGCTGGGCACCGGATGGGGGGAGCGGCCGTGCCATGTGGTGGGTTTTGTTTGTTTTTTTGTTTTTTTGTTTTTTTTTTTTTTTCCCCCCTTCCCCATTTCCCTGGGGATTTGGGGGGTGGGGGGTGGGGGGTTGGCTGTGTAACCCCCCCCTCCTCTCCCCCTGTGTTTCATGTCCCCCAGTCCCGTCAGCGTTGTACACTCCATCCCATTGTGCCGGTGTGTAGGACAGTGTCACGGAGATCTCGCGGCGTCGCCTCTTCCATAAAGAGCTGATTTCACCCCAAAACTACTCGCCTGTGGCCCCCACCCCCCCAAGAGGTTCCCCCTTTATTTGGGAGGCACCCCTTTCCCTGTGCAGTGCTGGGGGGCCCAGAACTCCCTCCTGCTGCTTTGGGGGGGGTCCCGGGCCTTGGGGGGTGGTGCCCAGGGGTGTTGAGGGGGGCTGGGGCACTGTGTCCCCTGGTCCCGCGTGGGGGCCCAGGGGTCTTTTGGGGGGTGGGGGGGGTGTCCTGGTCCCGGGGATCCTTCCTGGTGCTTTCCAGGTCTGGGAGTGGGGGGCTGCCATGTTTCTTCCCCACACGTGACGCGGCTGCGGCCGCACGTGGCGGCTGTAGCGACGTCACTGAGCCGCGGACGCGCTCCTTGGCTGGAGGCGCCGTCAGTCCGCCCGAGGGGGCGGGACCCGGGCGGCCGGGGGGGCTGGCGCCGCCGGTTCCCGCCCCCTGGCCCGATCCCGCCACTGCGCCCCCCCCCCCGCCCCACTCCGTGTCCCGCCCCGCGGTTCTCCGCTGCCGCATCCCCGACGTGTGTGTATGGGACACACACACGCTCCCACCCGCGACACCCGGCCCACGGGTCCTAACCCCGCCCACCACCATAGAGACGGGAGGACCGGCCTGACCTGAGCGGCACCAGGGGGGTGGGCGTTGCTTTCCGGATTGACAGGCGCGGAGGCCAATTGCCGCGCGGCGGGGAGAGATAAGGCGGGTGGGCGCTGACCCCCGCCCCGGCCATGGCGGAAGAGCCCGGCGCTCCGGCGGGGGCTCCCCCCGGGCCCGCCCTGGGAGACGGGCCCCCCCTGCCCGTGCTCAAACCGGGCGCCAAGAGCAGCAGCATCATTGTCAGCCCGCGGCAGGTGAGGAAGGGGATGGACACCGTGTCGTGTGTCGTCCCCCCCTTCCCCCCCCCCCATATTTTGGGGCACCCCGTAGTGGCGTCGGAGGAGGGGTGGGTACATAGAGACCGGGCGCGGGGGGACGTACCCGCTCCGCCCGGGACGCGGGAGGGGGGTGTCCCGAGGGGGACGGGGGGAGGCCCTGATCCACCCGTCCGTCCGTCCGTCCGTCCGTGCCCCCGTTCCCCCCCCCACAGCGGGGTAACCCGGTGCTGAAGTTCATCCGCAACGTCCCTTGGGAGTTCGGTGACATCGTCCCCGACTACGTGCTGGGCCAGAGCACCTGCGCCCTCTTCCTGAGGTGAGCTGGGGGGGCCCGGGGGGGGGGCCCGGGGGTGCCCCCGGCACCAGCCTGGCCTTGCTGCCTCCCCCTAGCCTGCGGTACCACCATCTCAACCCCGACTACATCCACGAGCGGCTGCGGCGCCTGGGCCGGAGCTATGGGCTGCAGCTGCTGCTGCTGCAGGTTGATGTGGTGAGCGGCTCCCTGTCCCCTCTTCCCCTTGTCCCCTCACTCTGCTCGTCCCCCTGTCCCCTCATCCCTGTCCCCTTGTCTCCGTCCCCCTGTCTCAAAGGTCCCCATCCCCTTGCTCTGCTTGTCCCCCTGTCCCCTCATCCCCATTCCCTCGCTCTGTTCGTCCCCCTGTAACCTTGTATTCATCCCCCTGTCCCCACCCCCTTGCTTTCCTGGTCCCCTCTGTCCCCTCATCCCCATCCCTTCAGTCTGCTCATCTCCTTGTCCCTGTCCTTCTGTCCCCATCCCTTTGCTCTCCTTGTCTCCCACGTTCCCATCCCCTTGCTCTGCTCATCCCCCTGTCCCCTTGTACCCATTCCCCTGTCCCCTCTGTCCCCATTTCCTCGCTCACCTGGTCCTCCCTGTCCCCTTGCTCTCCTGCTCACTGTCCCCACTGTCCCCCCCATCCCCTCCGCAGAAGGACCCGCACCAGGCGCTGAAGGACCTGGCCAAATTCTGCCTCCTGGCAGACTGCACCCTCCTGCTCGCCTGGAGGTAGGGGCCATCCCTGCCCCACCCTGGGGGGACCCCGCTGTCCTCCGTGGGTGCCCCCCCGTTCCCCCCTCACTGTCCTGTGCCCCCCCAGCCCTGAGGAGGCTGGCCGGTACCTGGAGACCTACAAAGCCTACGAGCAGAAGCCTCCTGACCTGCTGAAGGAACGCGTGGAGCAGGATTTCCTCTCCCGGGTGAGCTACGCCCCTTCCCTGCACCCCAATTTTGGGGACCCAGAAAGAATTTTGGGACCCCCCCGAGGGTCCTCTGATCCACTGCCCCCCCCTCCCAACGCCCCCAGATGACCGACTGCCTGACCAGCGTCAAGTCGGTGAACAAGACGGATGTGCTGAGCCTCCTGACTGCTTTTGGGGTGAGCCACCCCCTGGGGGGGGGGGCGTGCCACCACCCCTGGGGCACAGTGGGGGTTGGGGACGTGTTGTCCCCCCTCACCCTCTCACCCATCCCACAGTCGCTGGTGGCCATGGTGGATGCCTCCAGGGAGGATCTGTCCCTCTGTCCCGGCGTCGGGCCGCAGAAGGTGAGCAGCGAGGGGACATGGGGGGTGTGCCCTCCCTTCCCCAGCCCCCCCTCACCCCACCCTTTGTGTCCCCCCCCTTCTTCTCCCTCTCCCAGGCCAAGCGGCTCTTCGATGTCCTGCATGAGCCCTTCCTCAAGGTCCCCAAATAAGCAGCCACCCTCCAAATCTCCATTTTTATAATAAATTTGATTTATCGGTGACACAGCCTTTGGGGAGGGGGGACACACATGGGGACGGGGGGGGTCACTCCGGCCGCTCCCGCTTGTGCTTCTTCTTTCTCTTGGGCACCTTGGGGGACACCCCAATGTCTGCGGGGAGGCTCAGCTCATTTCCCCCCGCCTCGACGGGTGCTGCCCCCCCTGGTGTTGACACCTCGGGCATCTCCGGTGGCTCCTTCATCATCGTCGTCGTCGTCTTCTTCCTCTTCTTCTTCACCGGCTTGGGCACGGGGAGGGTCACTGGGACGCCGGGGGGGACCCCAAAGCTCTTGGTGACGGTGAGGCAGCCACGGAGGGGGGGGGGCGCAGGCCAGGGGGCCGGCGGGGGGGGAGGCGGGGGCCAGGAGGAGGGTGCCTTCGGCTCCCCCCGGGACCCCCCATAACCTGTAGAGCCCCCCATCCCCATCCCTGGAGGGCTGGAGCTGCCCGCAGCTGTCCAGGGGCACTGTGCAGCCCTCCAGGCTGGGGGGGTGGGACACAGGGTGGTGAGGGTGGGGACAAACGGCTGCTGGCACTGTTCCCCGCCCCCCCCCCCATGACTCTGCCACCAGCCCTGTGACCCCCCCCCCCCCCCATCCTCCCCACAGCATTGTCACCACCCTGTGCCCACCCTCCCCAAATTGCCACCAGCCTTGTCACCTCCCGGATGGCGCTGTCACGCCCCTGTGCCCCCCCCAGATGTCACCGACACCCTCCCCGCCCCTCCCCGTGACTGACCTCTCGGGGCTGAAGTCGGCGGGGGCGCGGATGAGCCAGAGCTCAGTGGAGGGACCCTCCAGGGCCTCCCCCCGCAGCCCGGGGAGGGGCGAGGGGGTCACCGCTTCGAATTCGGGAGGGCACCGGAACCGCATGGGCCCTGGGAACGGGGCGGGGGGGCGGAAAATGCTGTGACACCCCACGTACCCCCCTCCGTGGTCACATACGCCCCTCCTGTCCCCCGTGGGACCCCCAGCCCCCTAAACCTCCCCCGCTCACCCTCCATGCCGCCGCGTGCACCGCGTGGCCTCGCCCACCCGGACGCGCCCACTCAACCTCACAGCGCGGGAGCGCTTCGCCTTCCCCCCCCACCCCCGCGGGGCAGTTGGTGCGGTCCAAGTGGCGGGAACAGCGGGGGCGGGACCTACAGCGGAGCCCCGCGCTCTCCCCGCCCTAAGATGGGCGTGACCGAGTTGCTGCCGGGCGGCGTTTAAAGGTGCAGAGACCCCCCCCCGCCCGCCCCCCGGGACCACGCGGGGACACTTGGGGGGCCCGGGGGGGGCTCAGGGTCACCCCGGGGGTCAGGGACAGCGCGTGGGGGGGCAGGCCCCGGACTACAAGTCCCGGCGTGCACCGGGGCTCGCCCGACCGGCCGGGCCGGAGCGGGGGCGGGAGGCGCCGGCTCGGGTTGGGGGGAGCCCCGGGGCTCTGCACCGCCAAACCCACCCCCGTGGGATCTGAGCCCCTCTCGTGGGACCCGCCCTGCCCGTCCCATCTCACTCCGGGACTCTCGCCGTGGGATTTGTCCCGTCCTCGTGGGATCCCCCCTCAATGGGATCTTTCCCCCCGCCTCCGTGGGACACGTCCCCGTGGGATCCGCCTTCCCCGCCCCCCACCGTGGGATTTGCGGGGACCCACCTCCTCCCCCTGTGAGATTTTCCTCCCCCGCCTTCTCGTGGGCCCTGTCCCCGTGGGACCCGCCTCCGCTCCTTCCCGTGGGATCTGTCCCCCCATCTCGTGGGGCGGGGGACCCACCTCCTACCCCCGTGGGATCTGCTCCCCCCGTTCCCGCGGGACTCGCCTCCCCTCTACCCGTGGAATCTGCCCGCCCCCCTCTCGTGGGACCCCTCCCCGTGGGATCTAACCCCCCCCCGTGGGACCCGTCCCCGTGGGACTCGCCTTCCCCCCTCCCGTGGGATCTGCCCCCCCATCTCGTGGCACCCTGGGGCGCAGGGCGCGGCCCCCCCCCCCCCCTCTCAGCGCCCTCCCCCGCGTGACCCAGCGCTCTGGAATTGGGCGTAGAGGCCGCGGGGACGCGGGCGCGCCACCGGCACCAGCACCCTGACCCGCACCCCACCAGGTACCGACCCCGCGTGGGGCCGGGGCGGGCGCCCCGGGTTTGCTCTGAGGGGTGCTGGGAGGGGCGGTGGGGGAGCGCCCTTGGGTGCCTGGGTCCAATTTGGGGTGCTGGGCAGCACTCTTAAGTGCCTGGGTCCGATTCGGGGGTGCTCTGGGTGCCTGGGTCAGGTTCGGGGTGCTGGGGGTATTGGGGAGCACCCTTGGGTGACCAAGTCTGAGTTAGGGTGCTCTGTGTGGGGGGGTGCAGCCCCCTTGGGGTGCCTGGGTCCAGTTTGGGGTGCTGGGGTTGGGGAGCACCTATGGGTGCCTGGGTCTGGTTTTGGGTGCGGGGGGGCGAGAGTTAGAGCACCCTTGGGTGCCTGGGTCCGGTTCGGGGTGTTGGGGAGCACCCTTGGGTGCCTGGGTCCGGTTCGGGGTGTTGGGGAGCACCTTTGGGTGCCTGGGTCTGGTTTTGGGTTCTGGGGGGTAGGGAGGTGGAGCACCCTTGGGTGCCTGGGTCCAGTTCAGGGTGCTGGGGGTATTGGGGAGCACCTTTGGGTGCTGGGGGTTAGAGCACCCTTGGGGTGCCTGGGTCCGATTCGGGGGTGTGGGGTGTTGCGGAGCACCCTTGGGTGCCCCTGGTTCTTTCCCAGCTCCCGTCTCGCCGCCGACACGGGACGAGCTGGGGCTTGTCCCTGTCTCCCCGGGGGCGGGGGCCGGGTGGGGCCGCCTGGGTGGGGCCGCGGCGCTGGGTAGGGGGGGGGAGCGTGGGGTGGGGGTGTCCCCCAAACCCCCCTTTGTTCTCCCCAGCGGTGGGGGACACACAGGGGTGCCCGTCTGCCACCCCAAATCCCCACCCTTTGCCCCCACCCATGGCGGGGGTGGGCCCTCTCTCCGTGGGTGGCAGCCCCCCCTCCATCCTACCCCCCACCCAACGCTGGGTGATCCCAGTGGAAAAAGGGGGGGTCCTGCCACCACCCCCTTCTAAAAGTGGGGTGCAGCCCCCCCCCACCTCCTCCCAGGGCCCTGCCCCGGGGGGGCGGGCGGCACCCGCACCTTGGGATGGATTAATTACCGGTAATTAGTATGATGATGATGATGAGGAGCGGGTTGAAACAAGTCCCTGCTCCCCGCGTTCCCAGGGGACTGGGGTGCGGTGGGGGGGAGCCCCCCCCCCATGAGAGCTTTTGGGGAGTGCCCCCCACCCTAAGACACCCATCCCCATTGCTCGCCCTGCAGGATGGCGAGCGAGCGGCTGCGCGGTGCTCAGGACCTGCTGGATCTCACCTTCCAGTGTGAGTAAAGGGCGGGGGGGGCACAGCGGGGGTGCACGCGCACACACAGGAGACCTTTTTGGGGTGCAGCCTGACCCCCACCCTTGTTTGTACTCCCCTGCCCCCCCCCCCAAAGCTCTGGCCATGCAGCACATGGATCTGAAGCAAGTGGAGCTGGACACAGCGGTGGCCAAGGTGGACGAGCTCTCCCGGCAGCTCGAGTCCCTCTGGACTGATGGTCCTGGCCCCCCCAAGGTAGGATCGAAAAATTGATTGGGGGGGGGATCATTGGGGGGCTGCGGACACCTCCTGTTGTCCCCCTGCCTCCCCCCAACCCTCCTCTCCCTGTGCCCCCCGGCCCAGGAGCCGTACAGCCCCAGCCGGACCCGATCGCCCCTCGGCCGGAGGAGCCTGGCACCCGAAACCACCGAGATGACGGGGGACCCCCTGGGGCGCCCCGGCTCCCCCCGCGCCCCCCCTTACCACCCGGTGGAGGATCGGGCCCCTTCGCCCCGCCCCAAGGTGCTGGCGGTGCCCTATGAGGGCTTGACGCTGCCCAGCCCAGGGGGGCGAGCCCCTTCCCCGCGCCCCCATCGCCCCTATGAATTTTTGGGGTTGGGGGGGTCCCCCCGAGCGGGCGAGGGGTCCGTTTTTTTTTCCCGAGCGGGCGCCCTCACCCCGACCCCCCGCACCCCCCCCCTATGAGGCGCATGGGCTGTACCCCTCCATCAGCACCCCCGCTGTCACCTTCCGGGCACAGGGTAAGGTCACTGTGGTGGGGTGGACAGTCCCTTTGGGGGGGAGGGGGCTGCTGTCCCCATCCTGGGGTGTTCCCATCCTTGGGTGTCCCCGTTCTGGGGTGTCCCCATCCCAGGGTGCTCCTGTCCCTTCTCAAGGAGCCCCCCCCCGCCCCCCATGACATTCTGCTCCATCCTGGGGTGTCCCTGAGCCCCCCCCGGGGTGTCCCTGAGCCCCCTCTGGTGTGTCCCCACCCCACCATGGGCTGTCCCCATCTCCAGGTGACCCAATCGTGGGGCATCCCCCATTTTGGGGTGTCCCCAACCCGGGACATCCCATTCCCATCCTCCAATGTCCTTGTCATCAGTTGTGTGTCGGCAGCTCTCCCCCCCCCCCCAAGTGTCCCCATCGTGGGGTATCCCCGATTTTGGGATGTCCCCATCCTGGGGGGCTCCCGCCCTGCCCTGGGGTGTCCCCATCCATCCCCCATCACCCAACTTGAGGGTCTGGTGGGAGGTGTGTCTGGGCCATGCCGGGGGTTCCCCTCAGCCCCTGTGTCCGTGTCCCCCCCTGATGAGCCCCCCCCCAGATGATCTCCTGATCAAGCGGCGGCCGCAGAAGAGCTGGAATGAGTCCGATCTGGATGTGGCTTATGAGAAAAAAACCCCCGGCTCAGGGGGCTACGACCGTGAGCGGGGGGGGGGCACGGGGGGCTGGACACGGTGGGCGGTTGCTGGCTGACATCTGAAGTGGCTGTGGGGTATTACAAAGGGTTTGGGGGTGCATTTTGAGGTGTGTGGGGGGGAAGGACAGAGCTTCTAGTGGGGATGGGGGGGTGTCGGGTTGTCTGGGGGCAGGTTGGGCCTGGGGGGGAGGAGGGGTGTCTGGTGCTGCTGGTTGGGGTCCAGCAGACTGGGGTGGGGGTGGGGGTGGTGTTCAGGGCTGCCGGGGAGTTTGGGGGGGCACAATGTGGGGTCTGGGGCTGTTGGTTTGGCTGCTGTGGGGCTCTAGGTCTTTTTTTTGGGGGGGTCTAGGGCTTTTTGGGGGAATCTAGGGCTACTGGGGGCTCTAGGTCTTTTGGGGGGGTCTAGGGTCTTGGGGTGGAATGTAGGGCTGCTGGGGGGGCTCTAGCTCTTTTGTAGGGGTCTCTAGGGCTGCTGGGGGGGGGTCTAGAGCTTTTTGGGGGAATTTAGGACTGCTGGGGATGGGTCTAGGGCTGCTGGGGGAGGGGGGGCCCACAGTTGCCAGTTGCTGGGGGGCCGAGTGGCTCATGGGCATGTCTCGGGGTGCCCCTGGGGTGGGAGGGGTGGGGGGGCCATGGCGCTGAGGTGGTCCCTGTGTCCCTCCCCCACCCCCCCCAGGCAGCGGAGAGGGGCTGCGGGCGTCCCTGGGGCTGGCGCTGGCACCCTGGAGAGAGTCGAGCCTGGACGGTGCCAGCGGGCAGGGCAAGGTGAGCCCTGGGGCGGGGGGACACACCTGACCACCGACCCCAGCCCCCCTGGTGCCTGATGCCGGGGTAGATGGGCTGGCTCCCACCCTGACACCCTGTTTTTTATTCCCCTCCGCCCCCCCTCCAGGATGGTGGCTACGGGGGGCACAGTGCCACGCTGCCCCGAAACTACAAGGTGTCCCCATTAGCGGGCGAGCGGCGAGTGGAGGGTCCCTTTCGGCGCTCGGGGGGGCCGGGGACCCTCCCCCGCAGCTGGCACTTCTCCCAGCAGCCCGTCTCCCGCATCCCCGTGCCCCCCCCGCAAGGTGGGCGACCCCCCCGCCACAAACCTCTGCCCCTCTCCATGATCTTCAAGCTGCAAAATGCTTTTTGGGAGCAGGGGGGCGGCGCTCCCCGGGGGCTTTCGTTGCTCCCCCCCGCTGGCCCCCGTGCACCCCAAAAGCAGCCTCAGCTCCCGGCGCTGCCCCAGGCCCCCCCGGTGCTGCCTGGGGGTGAAGGTGAGGTGCTGGTGGGGTGGCACTGGGGTTACTGGGGGGCTCAAGCGGACGGCAGGATGTGGATTGGGGGGGGCTGCAGCATGAAGGGGAGGGAATTGCGGGGAGCAATGGGATTGCAGTGCGCTGAGATGTAGGGGGGTTTGGGGGGAGGGGTCTGCTGTGCTGACCCACCTGAAGTGGGGGTCCGTGGGGCTCAGCGCCCTGACCCTGGCTCCCTCACAGTATCCGGGCGCCCTGCGCCCCCTGAAACCATCCCGCCCGAGGGGGAGCCAGAGCTGGAGCGACTGCTACAGGGCGGCGAGGCCGAAGGGCTGGAGCGGCCTCTCAGCCCCACGCGGCTGCAGCCCCTGTTGCCCCCCGAGGCCCAACGGGTACCTGAATTCGAGGAGGTGGCCCGGGTGCTGGCCGAGATGCCACGACCCCTCAAACGCCGCGGCTCCATGGAGCAGAGCCCTGGCCCAGCGCTGCCGCCCACCCGCACCCGCCAGTACCAGCAGCTCATCACCCGCCTGCTGCACCGGCCACCCCGCCGTGATGAGCCCCCGGCCCCTGGTGACGCTGGCGCCTCGCCCGACCTGCCACCCCCCGCTCCGGTGGCCCCTGAGACCCGGCCACCCCGTCACAGCCCCCCGCCACCGTCTCCCAGCAGCCCCGCACCAATCCCGGTAAGTGTCTGCGGTCCCTGGGGTGCCCGGTGTCCCTTGGAGCCCCCCGGGATGTCACACAGTACTGGGTGTCCCTTGGGGTCCCTTGAGGTGCCACAGGGTGCCCGGAGTCCCTTAGAGCCTGCTGGGATGTCACACAGTATCCGGTGTCCCTCGGAACCCCCCAGGATGTCACACAGTACCTGGTGTCCCTTGGACGCCCCCGGGGCTGCCAGGCAGTGGTTGGTGTCCCCTAGGGTTCCTCGTGTCCCCAAGACTTCCCCCAGTGTCCCCAGAGGTGGCAGAGCGTGCCTGGTGTCACCACTGTGGTCCCACTGCATGCACTGTGGTGCCAACCAGTGCCCCAGGAGGTGTCCCCAAGGTCCCCTGGGTGCTGTAGAGCACCGAGTGGCCTGGGAGGTGTCCCCAGGGTCCCCCCGGTGCCGTAGAGCTCTGTGTGCCCTGGCAGTGTCCCCAAGGTCCCCTGGGTGCCATAGAGTACCAAGTGGCCTGGGAGGTGTCCTCAGGGTTGTCTGGGTGCCCCAGGAGGTGTCCCCAAGGTCTCCTGGGTTCCATAAAGCACTGGGTGTCCCAGGAGGTGTCCCCAAGGTACCCTGGGTGACACAGAGTGCTGGGTGCCCCGTGACATGTCCCCAGGGTCCCCTGGGTGCTGTAGTGCACCGCATGCCCCTGGAGGTGTCCCCAGGGTCCCCCCGGTGCTGTAGAGCTCTGTGTGCCCTGGCAGTGTCCCCAAGGTCCCCTGGGTGCCATAGAGCACCAAGTGGCCTGGGAGGTGTCCCTGGGGTTGTGTGGGTGCCCTTGGAGGTGTCCCCAGGGTCCCCCAGGTTCCATAAAGCACTGGGTGCCCTGGGGGGTGTCCCCAGGGTCCCCTGGGTGCCATAGAACTCCGGGTGTCCTGGGGGGTGTCCCCAGGGTCCCCTGGGTGCCATAGAGCTGCGGGTGCCCCAGGGGGTGTCCCCAGGGTCCCCTGGGTGCCATAGAGCTGTGGGTGCCCCAGGGGGTGTCCCCAGGGTCCCCTGGGTGCCATAGAGCTGCGGGTGCCCCAGTGTTGTCCCCCGGCCCCCGCTGACCCCGCTGGCTGCCACAGGAGCTGCGCTCGGCCCTGCGCGACCCCTCCTCGCCCCGCAGGCGCCCCGGGGCCCGCGTGCGCCTCAACCCCCTCGTGCTGCTGCTGGATGCGGCCCTGACCGGGGAGCTGGACGTGGTGCAGCAGGCGGTGGCTGAGGTGGGACAGGGGACAAGGGGGACAGGGACATGGGCTGGGGGACAGTGGGGACAGGGGGACAGTGGGGACAGGGTGGCAGGGACACGGGCTGGGGGACACTGGGGACAGGGGACCAGGGACCAGGGATGGGCAGTAGGCTAGCAGGGATGAGGACTGGGGGACAGTGGGGACAGGGTGTCAGGAACCAGGGCTGGGGTGATGAGGGTTGAGGGACAGGGGATGGGGTGGCAGGGATGAGGGCTGGGGGACAGTGGGGACAGGGGGACAGTGGGGACAGGATGGCAGGGACCCGGGTGGGGGAAAGAAGTCTGGGGAGCAGTGGGGCCAGGGGGCCAGGGACAAGAGCTGGGGTGGTGAAGGCTGGGGGACAGTGGGGCCAGGGTGGCAGGGACATGGTCTGCGGTGGCAGAGCTCTGGCTCTGGGGGACAATGCGGCCAGGGGCTGGGGGACAGGGTAACAGGGCCAGCGGTGTGGCTGGTGCTGGGGGGGGCAGGGGGTGGCGGGGGGGCCAGGGGGACACAGGCCTGCGTGTCCCCAGCTGAACGACCCCAGCCAGCCCAACGACGAGGGCATCACGGCGCTGCACAATGCCATCTGTGGCGCCAACTACGGCATCGTCGACTTCCTCATCGCCAGCGGGGCCAACGTCAACTCCCCCGACAGCCACGGCTGGTGGGACAGGGGCCCACGGGGGGGACAGGGGAACCCACAGTCACCCATGGGAGACACAGGAACCCACGGGAGGAGACACAGGGGGAACCCACAGGGACCCATGGAGGGGGGGGACAAGAGAGCCCAGGGGGACCCATGGGGTGAGGGGACAGGGGAACCCACAGGGACCCATGGAGGGGGGGGACAAGAGAGCCCATGGGGACCCATGGGGTGAGGGGACAGGGGAACCCACAGGGACCCATGGAGGGGGGACAGGGGAACCCATGGGGACCCATGGGGCAGGGGAACCCACAGGGACCCACGGAGTAAGGGGGTGGACAGGGGACCCCATGTGTACCCATAGGGGCAGGGGGACAGGGGACCCCATGGCCACGGCTGGTAGGACAGGAGCCCACAGTGGGGGGGACAGGGGACCCCACAGCTGGTGGGACAGGGACCCACTGATATGGGGTGGAGTCATGGGAGGACCCCCAGCCCTGGCTGGTGGAACAGAGGGTGGGGCCTGGGGACCCCACAGACATGGGGGGTGTGGGAACAGCTGGGACCCCCCCAGCCACGGGGAGCAGGGCTGGGGATTCCAGGCAGTCCCTAGAGCCTGGGGTCAGAGGGGGACAGGAACCCCAATAACCCCCCAACAGCCCTGGGTGAGCAGGGACAGGGATGGGGAGCCCCCAGTTATGCCCACGGTGTTGGGGACAGGGACGGGGGCCCCTAGTTTTGCCCACGGGGTTGGGGACAGGGATGGAGGCCCCCAGTTATCCCCATGGGGTCGGGGACAGGGATGAGGGACCCCCAATTATCCCCACGGGGTTGGGGACAGGAATGAGGGACCCCCAATTATCCCCATAGGGTTCGGGACAGCGATGAGGCCCCCAGTTATCCCCACAGGTTTGGGGACAGAGATGGGGACACCCCAATAACCCTTGTTGGCCTCCAGGGCTTGGGGACCCCCCCAACAGCCCTCAATGCCTGGGGGTGGGGAGGGACGGGGGTACCCCAACCCCCTCCATAGTGGGGACTAGGGGGGGCATGTCTCTGCTCCCACGACACTCGGGGGGGGGGGGTGTGGGCGGGTGTGTGGGGGTGTGTCCCCCTCCAAACCCAACCGCCCCCGTCGCACCGGTGGCAGGACGCCGCTGCACTGCGCAGCCTCGTGCAACGACACGGGCGTGTGCGTGGCCCTGGTGCGACACGGCGCCGCCATCTTCGCCACCACCACCAGCGACGGCAGCCTGGCCGTGGAGAAGTGCGACCCGTACCGGGAGGGCTACGCCGACTGCTATAACTACCTCACCGGTGAGCGCTGGGAGCACTGGGAGGGGCGGGGGGTGAGTGGGCGGATGGGGGGTACTGGGGGGGTGTACTGGGAGGGGGTACAGGGGTGGTGGGGGTATGGGAATGGGGGATATAGATACTGGAAGGGGGTCTTGCGGGGAGTATGGGTACTGGGCGGGGGGTACTGGGAGGGGTACTGGGCAGGTTAGGGGTACTGGGAGGGGATGTTTCGGGTATATAGGTACTGGGAGGGGCACTGGGGGTATGGGTACTGGGAGGTTATAGGTACTGGGAGGGGGTACTGGGAAGGTATGGGTAACAGGAGGGTGTACTAGGGGATGTGGGTACTGGGCGGGGTACTGGGCAGGTTAAGGTTACTGGGAGGGGATGTTTCGGGTATATGGGTACTGGGAGGGGCACTGTGGGGTATGGGTACTGGGAGGGGGGTACTGGGGGGATGTGGGTACTGGGAGGGGTACTGGGCAGGTTAGGGGTACTGGGAGGGGATATTGGGGGTATATGGGTACTGGGAGGGGCACTGGTGGGGTATGGGTACTGGAAGGGGGTACTGGGAGGGGGTACTGGGGTGGTGAGGGTATTGGGATGTGGGATATAGGTACTAGAAGGGGGTCTTCTGGAGAATATGGGTACTGGGAGGGAGTACTGGGGGGATGGGGGTACTGGGAGGGGTACTGGGCAGGTTAGGGGTACTGGGAGGGGATATTGGAGGGTATATGGTTACTGTGAGAAGGTATTGGGCGAGTATGGGTACTGGGAAGGTATACTGGGAGGGGGTACTGGAGTGGTGGGGGTATTAAGAGTGAGGATATAGGTACTGGAAGGGGGTCTTGGAAGGAATATGGGTACTGGGAGGGACTACTGGGAGGGTAGAGGTACTGGGAGGGGGTACTGGGGGTATATGGGTACTGGGAGGGTGTGCCAGGGGGGGCATAGGTACTGGGAGGCGGTACTTGGCAGTTGTGAATATTGGGGGATGGTATCAGGGGGATATGGGTACTGGGAGGGGATACTGGGAGAGCGTATTGGGAGGGTATGGGTATTGGGAGGGGGTGCTGGGGTGCTGGGGGTACTGGGAGGGGTACTGGACAGGTTAGGGGTACTGGGAGAGGATATTGGGGGTATATGGGTACTGGGAGAAGGTATTGGGAGGGTATGGGTACTGAGAGGGTGTGCTGGAAGGGGGGTACTGGGCTGGTGGGGGTATTGGGAAGCGGGGATATAGGTACTGGGAGGGGGTACCAGGGTTCTATGGGTACTGGGAGGGGGTACTGGGAGGGTATGGGTACTGGGAGGGGGTACCAGGGTTCTGTGGGTGCTGGGAGGGGGTACTGGGAGGGTATAGGTACTGGGAGGGGGTGTAGCAGGGTTATAAGGGTACTGAGAGGGGGCTGCCAGGGGGGCATGGGTACTGGGAGCGGTACTGAGCAGGTTAGGGGTACTGGGAGGGGATACTGGGGGAATATGAGTACTGGGAGAGGGTACTGTGAGGCTCTGGGTACTGGGAGGGGGTACTGGGGGTATATGGGTACTGGGAGGGGGATGCCAGTGGAGACATGGGTAGTGGGAAGGGGTACCGGGTAGGTTAGGGGTAATGGGAGGGGGTACTGGGCTGTTGTGAATACTGGGAGAGGGTATCAGGGGGATATGGGTACTGGGTGGGGATACTGGGAGAGGGTACTGGGAGGGTAGGGGTATTGGGAGGGGATATTGGGGGTATACAGGTACTGAGAGGGGGTACTGGGGATATGGATGCTGGGAGGGGGTACGGGGTGGGGTATACAGGTACTGGAAGCAGGTGCTGAGAGGAGGTGTGGGTGGATATGGATACTGGGAAGGGATACAGGATGGATATGTCTTTAGGGCAGGGGGGTGCCGGGGGGGGTGGTGGTGCTGGGGGCGAGGGGTGCTGGGCGCTGATGTCTGCGTCCCCACAGAGGTGGAGCAGAGCATGGGGGTGCTGAACAGCGGGGTGGTGTACGCGCTGTGGGACTACAGCGCCGAGTTTGGGGATGAGCTGTCCTTCCGCGAGGGTGAGCCCGTCACCGTCCTGCGCCGCCAGCCCCAGGACGAGCTCGACTGGTGGTGGGGGTCCCTCTACGGCCATGAGGGATATGTCCCCCGGAACTACTTTGGGGTGAGTGGGGGTTCCACAGCACCCACGGCCACCCCACAGTCCTGGGGGGGCCACCCGTGGTTCCAGGGAGGGGTCCCACAGCACCCACAGCCACCCCACAGCCCTGGGGGGGTCACCCACGGCACCCCCATGGCCCTGAGGGTGAATCTCATGGCTTCCCTGGCTCCTCCATGGCTTGTGGTCCTGGGGGGTGGCTGGGGGAGGGCAGCACCCTCCCCCTGACGCCCTCCCCCTCCCCCAGCTCTTCCCCAGGGTGCGGCCGCAGCGGAAGAAGGTCTGAGAGGGGGGGGCCCTGAGCCGGCCCTGCCCCCCCCCAGCTGCTCGGATGCTTGGGTCCCCCTTTCGCTGGGCACCTCCTTGGCTGCCCCCAAATCCCATCCCCCCCATCCGAGCAAGGCACCAGGGTGCCCCCCTCCCCCCCCGTGGTGTGATGTATCCCCCCCCACCCTGGCTGGTGACAGCAGGTGTCACCCCACGGTGTTGGCTTCTCTGGGGAGTAAAGAACCTTCGGCTGCGCCTGGTGGTCTCTGTCCTCTGCGTCACGGGGTGGGGGGGGACACACACAGAGGACTGGGGGGGGTGACACGGGGAGGGGGACGCCTTACTTGGGACCTGAGGGGTGACACGGGTGGGTCCCAACCCCAGGGAATGGTGACCTGGGGAGACAAATGCCCAACGCTCTGCAAGTCCCCCCTCTTCCTCCTTCTCCCCTGGCTTTTATTGCTGAGCATGAGGCCACGTGGGCTGGGATCTCCCTTCCTTAAATTTGCCCATTTTTAGATAATTTAGGTGCAGCCCATGCTAAAAAGAGACGAGCTTGTGGTTGGCATTTTGCCGACAGACACTGTCGAGTTTTGAATCCGGGGGTTTGGCGCCCAAGTGCCTAGCAAAGAATTCATGCTTTGGATTTTTCCTATATCCACACCAAATTGATTTAAGGGCCTGAGCACCACTTCGTGATTCTTCGTGATCTTTGATTTCACGGGATTAATTTTATCCCTGCTACTGGGAGCCGTTGTCTTTTTGGGGCAGATTTCATTAGATGAATCGTTTCTCAAGGTTTCTGGTTGAAGCCAGGATCATCCTTAGCTTTAATCATCCATATTGGGACTTGTGTGGCTGTGAGTAAAGAGAATATTTGTCATTCACCATTAAAGATATACAAGGGCTTTTACTACTATTAATTCCAAAAATTTTCACCACTTGGGAGGGGTCATTGGACCTTCCTGGGCCAGCAACTGGGTTTTCCTCCCTTAGTTGGGCGTTTTGCCCTTAGTTTCTTATGATTTTGCCTTGCTTTTGCCATTTGGGACCATCGTTAGCAGCTCTTTGCCCTGCTGGCCTGTCATCTCGGGGTGTCCCTGAAAAGGCAACCCACTTCTGCAGCCTTGGAGCCAACGTGGTCCTTCTGTCACCTAAATCAGGAATAAACCTCTCAACCCCAGCGTAGCACTCAGGCATTCTCTTTATTACAGCACTGGATGTATGGGGGATCACTCCACCCGGTGTGTGTGCCCTAAACCAAAATTCTCTTGTTTATAGACCTTAAAGACATTAAGATTTGCACATTTTCCAAGAAGTAGCCACCTTTCTACCTATCTACTACATTTACACAATGCTGGTGTTGCAAAATTACACTATGCCTGTGCAGGGGTCTCGGGTGGTCGCCAGTGGTTGTTTGGGGAGTTAGCCCCCCACTTCTTTTTCCCTTTGATGTTTACGAGTCTCCTGAGGACAATTTCTTCTCCTTGGATGTTTCCCAACTCTGTTGTAAGGCCAAGCTGTTCTTTCTTCTCAGCCTTGCTTGAGCTACCTGTTTCAGCCATCCTGCGAGGATGTTTCTATTCTCAAGGTTAGGATATCTTCACTATACGTGTTAATTGCTTATTGGCCTCATTAAATTCAAAGCTAGCCATTGTTTAGTAACAGACTTTCTGAGCATTCCCCCAACTTTGAGAAAAGACAGGGGGATTCTGATTAGGAGTCTCCCAATTTACACGTTTTTCAGAAGGTGGTTATCACTCTTGCCAAGCTCAAGGACCTTTGTGCAATGGAAAACATGTTACGGGTGTTTGACTGCTTTCTTAATTTCTTATGGTACCCTAAATAATCTTTTTTACTTCACCCGTTTTCCAGTACTTCCGTCATGGGTCCCACTGTGCCACACTAAGCCCAGTCTTAGCATCCACCCAGACAGCCCAAGGAGGAGGAAGGTCGTATCCCCATGGCTCTTCCAGTTGTCTAACAACACCTATTATTGAAGATAAATATTCCATTCCATTCTGTTGCAAATCTGCAGGTATCTACACAAAGTTAGATAATCAGAGATGTCTTTATTGACGATGTGCAGCGGGGACACAGGATCATTCCCAAAGGTGTCCGCCGAAACCTTGTAACCCACAAATACTTATACCCCAACATTCTTTGTTCTCACTCATTATAATAGGCATGCGCACAACGTCCGCTTTTAATTGCTGATTAGAACTGCCCTTTATCTGTATTGGTTACTATTATTTTTACTCATTACATCATTACTATATTATTGCTTCCTCATTCTCTAAATCATACATATACATAAAAGTTACTAAATCATTTGGCCATTTATCTTAGAATCTGCCTGCTGCTGACCACCTGTGCTTCTAGGTCACCATGGTTTGGGGTTTTGGGCCAATGAACAACTTAATAATATAGGTATGATAAATGACACTTTCTTTTGTTCTCTCCTTTTAGAACAGTCTCCCCCAATATTCTTCTGAGTGTTTTATGGCCCTGTTGTAATTCCAAACAAGCATCACATCGTGTTCCCTTTCTTCTCAACTTCTCTTGCACATCCCTTCCTATGGCAACAGCTCACCCTGTTGCTAAGGCCTATCTCTACTCATTATATTCGTTCTACCTACATATGTAGTTAAATCATTCAACACAATTTTCAAAACCCTAACAATTCTATTGACGTAATGGCAGTTGCCTCCTACCCCACCACCTTGGGTTACATCTCTGGAAGGAACTGGAAGTTCTTTTAATAACAGGGTACAAAGTACCTCATCCAGGTTGTGCTCAGATAATGGTGTTGCTGGGGTGGGGGCAAAAGGTTCGTTATTATAATCAATACCAGAATCCGCCTTGTTAACTCCCCGTGTGGGTATCTTTTCAATAATCTTGCTTTCTGCGATGGGGTGGGTCATAGGGGGGGGCTGCTCATAGGGGATGCTGCTGCCCTCCAGAGTCCCCTGGATTCTTGGCTGGTCTTTTTACCTATTGAGGCAAATTAAACACATATCTTTGCTAAATTTTAAAGGATTTAAGTGAGCAATGCATTGGGCAGTGTCCTACCGCCGTAAGTGAGTCTACAAGGAGTCTGCGAAGATGCACCATGAGTTGATGTGTTGTATATTCCTTATATACCTTATATACTTTTTTGCTTGATCTGCACCGATCTGGTGAGCCTCATCCTGGGGTGCCTCAGCCCAGCCTTGAGTTCACCCCCCCAGTGCCAGTTCTGCAGCACAAAGGCAGCCCCTGGGCGCCTGGCCCGCATCATTGCTCCAAGACAACACCATGGCCTTTCTCACCTCATCACCGAGGGAAACTTTGTTTCCTGACTAAGAACCTTTCCGTCCCCAAAGTCCTTCCACAGTTGGGCCTTCTTGCCCTCTGTGTCAGATAGTTCTTCATCGTGAATGGCCATGGCTGAGCAGGTACAATCTGAATTTCCCCTTCGCCTCCCTCCCCGGGGTGGGCCCAGGAGGAGGCTATGGAGTTGCCATCTGTGGCTATGAAAGATACACCTGAACTGCAAAAAATGTCATCATATTGGTGATGTCTTGAATACTGTCATGGTTTGAGCCCAGAGGGCATCTGAGCACCATGCAGCCGCTTGCTCACTCCTTTCCCCTCAGGGATGAAAAATCTCTGGGATTGAGATAAGGACAGGGAGGGATGACTCACCCATTTCAGTCACAGGCAGAAGACAGTCTCGTTAGGGGAAGAAGAAGAACATGAATTTAATTCAGATACCACCACCACCACTTAGCAAATGGAGGAAGACAGTGAGAAGCATTACCACATCTGAAAAACACCTTCCCTCCCCACCCCTCCCTTCTTCCCAGGCTCAGCTTTGCTCCCTGCCTGCAATGGCACAGGGGGCAGGACTCCTTACACTCTTCCCCTGCTCCAGCATGGGTTCTCTCCTACGGGAGACAGTCCTCCATGAACTTCTCCTACGTGGGTTCTTCCCGCGGGCTGCAGTCCTCCCAGCACCAAACTGCTCCAGCATGGGCTGCCTCCAGAGTCCCAGATTTCTCTGGGCTTTCTCTGTTCCTTCTGCTTGTGTTTAAATATAAAAATTAAAAATAAAATTATAAATGAATGAGCAACATGTTGGACAGAGTCCTAGTGCTGTAAGTGGTTCTACAAGGAGTCTGCCAAGAGCTGATTGTCCAAAGAATCATACCGAGATGCATAGTCCAGTATCATTCAGTGAGCATTTATTTAAATGTTGGGAATTTTTGTTGAATTTATTTTGATTTTCTGGTATCAATAGCTGGAGAAGCTCCACGGCCAAAAAGGCTACACTAAGACACCTCTGTAATAAAAAAAAACTTCCTAAAAAATTACTAGAATTCTTGATCCTTAGAAAGCACTTAGTAATATTTTACCTGTGCTCCAGAAAAGGTTTTGCAGTAGGCTGGTAGTTCTGAGCTGATAATTCCTTATTTGACTGTCCTGGTTTAAATACTGAAATAAACCACATCTGTCCTGTGCCATAAATTATCCCAAAGTGTCTTAAAATACGTGGTAGAATTTTTGCATCTGCTTGAGGTTGTGTCTTATCGTCAGATGTGTTAAAAACCCCTGATATGAGACCTTGGAAGAAAGATGGACACTTCTAACAGTATTTTATGTCTTTGGAAAAAGGAACAGTGGAATTTGGGCAGCCTGGTGCTTTGAACATACGGTGGCTGCAATGCCAAATCTACCACATTTCCAGAATTTAGTCTGACAACACCAGATTTTGTTGCAAAGTTGTTCTACATCTGAAGTTTTCTGCAAATTAGGTCTGTGCTCCCTTAATAATCTGTGGCTGGAAACTCCTCCTAGCCTAAAATGGGGTTTGGAGGCAAAACTAAGGCTTTGGAAAGTAAAAATGAGGCTTTAGGACACTATAAATCAGGCTTTGGACTCTACAATTGAGGCTATGGACCTTCAAAGTCACACTTCGGACCTTAAAAATGATGCTCTGGGCCCTTAAAAGGGGCGTTTGAACCTTAAAAGAAAAAACATTGGAACTGATAAATGACACTTGGAAAACAGAAGTGAAACTGTGGGTCCTAAAAAAAGACTATGGGTACTAAAAGACAGCCTTGGACCCTAAAAATGGGGATTTTGGCCCTAAAAATGAGGCTACAGACCCTAACAGCGGGTCTTTGGATGTTCAAAATGAGTCTTTGGACATGAAGAACATGAGTCTTTGAGCCTCAAGTGAGGAGTGTGGACCCTAAATGAGCCCTACAAAATTAGTATTCGGACCCTCAATATGAGGCTTTGGTCCCTCAAAATTACGGACTAGATCCTAAAAATTAGCACTAGTTCCTGGAAACGAGGCTTTGGTCCCTGAAAATGAGTCTTTTGGAAATAAAAATTAGGTTTTGGGTCCAAGAATGAGTCTTTGGATCTGTAGATTAGGCTTTGGGCTCTACAAATGAGTCTTTTGCTCTTCAAAATCAAACTTCGGGGCTTAAAAATTATGTTCTGGGTCCTTAAAATGAGTCTTTTAACCTTTAAACCCAGACAAAACCAGTACAGGTGGTTAACCCTGGTTTCCCATCACCCCCTGGGCCATCACCCCTGGGTTAGTTACACCTGGAGGCCCATCAACCATGGGTTGTTAAACCCTAGCACCCAGTCTTCTCAGGGTCCCATCACCACTGGGGTGGTTAACAATGTTGGTCCATCATGTCTTTAGCCCATCTCCATCAAGGTGGTTGACCCTGGGACCCATAACCCTTTGACCCATCCACTTTGGGGTGTTTAACCGTGGGGGTCCATCACCCCTTGGGCCCAGTCACCCTTTGGGTGTTTAAACCCAGAGGCCCTTCATCTTCGGAGCTCCTCAGCTTTGGGGTGTTTAAAACCAGGTGCCCATCACTTCTTGGGCCCATCAGCCTTGGGGTACGTAACCCTGGATTCCCATCACACTTGGGGTGGATAACCCTAGGAGCCCATCACCCCAGGGGCCCATCACCCCTGGGGTGGTTAAAGCCCATCACCATGGGGGTCTATCACCCAAAAGGTGCTGAAACTTGTTTTCTGATCACCTCTTGTGCCTTTCATCCTCTGGGTTGTCAACCTCCACCAACCCGGGGGGGCCCATCACCCTTGGAGTTGTTAACCCTGGTTATGGCTTTGGCTCATCAGCCTTGAGGTGGTTAACCTTGGGGACCCATCACCCCTTGGGCCCATCACCCTCAGGATGGTTAAGCCTCAGGCCCAACATCCCAAGGGACAAAGACTCTCTGAAGTGGTTAACACCGAGGCACATCACCCTCGGGGTGTTTAACTCTGAGTTCCCATCACTCCTTGGGCCCTTCACCCTTGGCATGGTCAACCTTGGGGCTCATCAGCCTTGGGGCAGTTAAAGCCAGGTCCCAACACCCTTTGGGCACATCACCAACTGGTGGTTGACACCAGGGGCCCAACAGCTTGTGGGCCCATAACTCTTGGCGTTGTTAACCCCGGGGCCCCTTAGTCCTTTGTCCCATCATCCTTGGGGTGATTAACCCTGGGCCCATCAGACCTGTGGTGGTTTACCCTTCGGGGCCATCACATCCGGGGCCCATCACCCTTGGGGTTGTTAACCCTGGGGGCCCATCACTTTTTGCTTCAAAGGACCTTGGGGATGTGGGTCCACTAAAACGACCATAACTAGCAATGTACGAAGGCCATCACCATCCTGGGTGGCAACTGGAGGGGTACTGGCATTCAGGTTGTGCACTCCTTCGTCTCCACTCAGGACTGATGAGCCCACGCTTTGGCCACTGGATCTAAGTCCTGGGCTACCAGTACAAGAGAGATGGAGTGACTGTGAGGGAGTCCAGTAAAGGGTCCCCAAGATGCTCCATGATCAGGAGCCTCTTGGAGGGGCTGTGTGAGCCAGAACTGGTCAGCCTGGAGAGGATTTGGCTGTCGGGGGTTCCACCCAGGTGGGACCTCAGCAGTGACGGTGACAGGACAAGAGGCGCAGGGCACAAACCTAGACACAACATGGCTTGGGAGGACACTTTTTTTACTGTGGGGGTGTCTGAGGCTCCTTGGGGAGGTTCTGGGGTCTCTAGCTGTGGAGGGATAAAAGGCCACCTGAAGGTGGCTATGGTGGTCTCCTGGGGGCCTTGTCTGACCCCCCCAGCACCCCTGGAAGGGCCCTGCTTCCCCCCCAGAGTCTCCCTGGGGCCCTTCCGAGGACCCCAGGACCCTGTGAAGTTCCCTGCAGACCCCTCAGGGACCTTCTCACCCCCCCTCTCCCAGCACCCCATGAAGGATCCTGCTGACACCCAAGGACTCTCCTGAGCCCCCCAGAACCCCATTAAGGTCCCTGATGAACCCCAGAAAACTTCCCATCCCCCTCCAGGACCCCATGAAGGTGCCTGCTTCACCCTGGGGGACCCACAAGGGCTTTTCCCAGGAAGGGGACAGTAGGTGACACCGGGGACATCGCAGGGGCTCAGCGTGTCCCCCAGGCCAGCGCGTGGAGGCGGTGGGCAGCGTCGCGCAGCCGCCTGCGGTGCTCCAGGTGGCAATGCAGACCAGGGGGGATGGGTGCCAGCCCCCCCCGCAACCCCCAGCACCCCGCGGCAATGGTCCCTGTTGAATCGTTGTCCCCACCGTGCAGCACCCCCCTGGCACACAGGTCCCCCCAGCACCCGCCAGCTGCCAGCAGGGCCTCCAGGGCCACCATAGGCGCATCGTGGCCGCTGCGCCCTGGCCACCCGTCCAGTGCCCAGCCCAGGTACGCCGCATCCCTCTCGGCCGGTGACAGGAGGGATGGCACCTGCGGTGGGCCGTGACCCTCCAGAAGCCCCCGGGACTCCAGGTACCTGCAGGGACGTGGGACACTGAGGTCACTGGGAGCACTGGAGTCATCGAAGGCGTGGAGACACCGGGGTCACTGGAGGTATTGGGGACACAAGGGACGCTGGAGTTGTGGGGACACTGGAGTCACCAGGGACATTGGTGTCATTGGAGACATTGGGGTCATTGGTGTCACCAGTGGAAATGGGGTAACTAGTGACACTGGGGGTCACTGGGCTGTGGATCTCCAGCAGCCCGTGTGACACGAGGTACTTGTGGGGACCTTGGGGACAACTGAGACACTGGGGGGGCACCATGGCAGTGGAGGTGGTGGGGCCACCAGTAACGCGAGGGGAACCAAGAGCACCAGGGACACTGGCCCTGGGCCACATTCCCACAGCTGAGGATCGCAGCACTGGCAGGGACACTGGGGACATGGGGACACTGGGGAGAGGCACCGGTGGCTCTGCGGACAGACTGGGCACCAGGGTCAGCAGTGACACTAATGACAGTGGGGCAGGAGACATCCAAGCAGTGCTACCAGTGCATCACGCTGTCAGGACTGGGAGAGAACCAGTGACGCTGGTGACGCCCTGAGCCCTTCCCAGTATCCTCACCAACCCCTCGCAGCACTCCCAGTACCCCCTCACCGGCGCCAGGCATCCCCAAAGAAGGGCCAGGCAGCAGCGTTGTCCCCCACGGCAACCCCAGCACCCTCCACGTAATCCCACGCCAGGGGCAGGACCCGCAGCAGCTCAGCCCCCCAGTGCTCTGGAGGCTCTCCCCGCACCCCCAGAGCCCCAAAGAGGGCCACCGCCAGTGCCCCAAGGTACCCTGTGGAGGAGACAGGTTTTTTTTTTTGAGGGGGGGGGAGAGTGTCTCCAGCATCGCCTCCTCCTCCCGCCCCTCCCTGCCTGGCACCCACCGGTGGGGTGGTGGTGGGTCATGCGCCCGCTCTCGATGCTCACCCGGATCAGCGTCGGCAGCTCCCAGGGGTGGGGGTACCTGTGTGGGCATCAGCCCCGTCCTCTCCCACCCCCCCACCGCCCCTCTCCTTGGTCCCTATAGCCCCAGCCTTGTCCCTATCCCCATCCCACCACCCTTGTCCCCCCTGTTCGTGTCCCTGCTGCCCCCCGGCCCCGCCACCTCCATGTCCCCCTCCCGCCTGCCCTGCGACACCTCTGTCCCCTCCTCCCTATCGCTGTTCCCATGTTCTCTGTCCCCTTGAGGCCCGCCCCCTCCCCAGCTAAGACATCCCAGCCCTCCCATCCCCGGCCACCCAGCTCCACCATCTCCCCAGTCCCTGGTCCTTGTCCTCCCCAGTTCCAACACCCTCATGTCCCCATCCCCCTCTATGTCCCCATCCCTCCCCCCCCTTACACCCCAATGTCCCTGTTACCCCATCCCCGCCCCTCCAGCTCTGACACCCTCATGTCCCCACCCCTCCTTGTCCCTGTCCCACCATGTCCCCATCCTCCCACCCCTCCAGTTCTGACACCCTTGTGTCCCCATCCCCTCCACCTCTTACACCCCCACGTCCCCATCCCCAACACCCTCTATGTCCCCATCCCTCCGCCTCTGACACCCCGATGTCCCCATTCCCATCCAGCCCCCCGTCCCTCCAGCTCTGATACCTCCACCCACCCCATCCCCACTTGCCCCCCCCCCCCCCCCCCATGTCCCCATCCCTGCCACCGCTGTCCCTTCCCGTGTCCCCGTCCCCACCTGAGGCCAATGGCCAGGCTGCGCATGGCAGCCCCACAACCGGTGCCGCTGGGGTTGAAGGGGATGCGATAACCCTCGGGCTCCCCAGGACGCAACTGAGAGGTGCCTGGGGGTGGGGGGGGATTTAGGGGGGGTGAGACCCCCCCGGAACCCCCAAAACTGCCCCCCCAGACCATCGGACCCCACTCACCCAGGATGCTGGTGGGTCCTGGCTTGCGGCCCTCCATGTCACCCATGGCAGCCACATAACGGCGAGCCAGCTCCTGCAAGAGGTCTTCCCCCTCCAGGCCTGGGGGGGTTGTTACTGAGGTCCCCCCCTCCCCCTGCCCTGGACCACCCAAATTGGAGGGGAAGGAGAGGCCCCATGCAACCTCCCCCCCAAAACTTAAGGGGAAGAGGAAGACCCCTCCCCATTGCACCACCCCTGAATGGTGGGGAAAGGGAACGCCACCCCATAGACAACCCAAAACTAAAGAGGAAGGGTGACACTCCCCATGACCATCCCCCACCCCCCACGTGACAGGAGAGGAATTGGGATGACATCTGTGAACACCCCAAAATTCAGGAGAAATGGGGAAGCCTCCTGAGCACCCCAAATTGGGTGGGAAAGGGGGTAACCACCCCCAGTCCCCCCAAATTGAGAGAGGGAAATGGGCCTTCCCCCCCAGCACCCAATATGGGAGGAAAGGGAACACACATTCCTGCAAATTGTAGGGAAAAATAGGACACACACCCTGCCCCGCCCCCTGAGAGGAAATGGGGACCCCTCTAATTTTTTTGTGGGGGAAATAGGGAGTCTCACTGGAGCCCCTAAGAGGGGGTGTGTGTGTGGAATTAGGATGACCCCAAACCCCTTTCAGAGCTGGCTGGGGACCCCCAAAAGCCCCTCGCAGGGACCATCGAGTTTGGGCTATAACTGGGTATCACCTCAAAACCCATCAGAACCCCGCCCCCCCCCAAGAAGCTCAGAGGTATAATGGGGACCTCTAACCTCCCCAGGGACCCCCCCACCCTGAACACTCTGTTGTGGGCTTGGGGTACAATGCCATCCCCCGGGGACCCTCCCCGGTGGTTGTGGGGTGCACTGGAGACCCCCCCAGTTTCTCTCCCCCCCCAAACCTGTGGCCAGGCCTTCGGCGGTGGCGAGGTGAAGGACGGTGTCATCACTGACGGGCCACTCGGGGGGCTCCAGGGTGATGGCTTCCAGCCCCCCCAGCTCGGCCAGCTCGGCGTGGATTTGGGGTCCCGAGGTACAGTATTCCCAGCGGCCCCCCCGGTACCCGAGCGCGTCCCCCACCCCACTCAGCACCATGGCTGCTTCGTAGGCTTCCACTGAGGGCACCCTGGGGGGGTGGGAAACATGGCTGGGGTGGGGAATTTTAGGGAGAAGGGGGGGCTGGAGTGCGGGGGACCCCCGGGGACACTCACGTCTCTTCCATTGCTGGAGCAGCTGGGGGTGCCGGTCAGGTTTGGGGCACGGGGCCAGTGCTGGCTGGGGGCCCTTAAGGAGGTTGAGGCCACCCCGGCGATTTTAAGGCGGGGGGGCGGGGAGGGGAACAGGGGAGCTGGCTCGTTGGGGATGAGTGGGGAGGGACCCCAGGATCTCTATCTCTGGGGTGTGGTGGGGAGGAGAAAGGATCCAGAGGAACCCAAAAAGCACTGGGAGGGGACTGGGGGGACGCTGAGGGGGGGCATCCAGAGGGGCATGGAGGTGGGGTGTACTCAAAGAGGGCTGAGGTACTCAAAGGGACAGGGAGGAGTTGGGAGAGCACCCTAAGGGGAGTGGGGGGACACCTAAGAGGGAGACAAGGAACACCCAAAGGGACTAGAGGGGTACCCAAAGGGGCATGGAGGCACATGGGAGGGCACCCAAAAGGGCTGGGGGGGGGCATCCAAAGGAGCACAGGGGCACCCAAAAGGGCTGGGAGGGTACCCAAAGGGGCACATGGGGGGGCACCCAAAAGGGTTGTGGGGCACCCAGAGGGGACACCCCTTTGGGGGAGAGGCTTTAAAAGGATTTGGGGCACAGAGGGGTGGGTCACAGGGGAAAACCAGGACGGGGAGAAAAGGAGCATCTCCAAGGAAAAATGTTTCTGCCAAATATTTCCCCATATTTATTTCACTAGGATGGGGTAAACCCCATGGCCCCTAGCTGTATTTTAGGGAGAAATCCCCCCAAACTGGTAGCGCCTGGGTCCCACCAGGACCAGGCAGCGATATGTAGCCCTGCTCTGGAAACTGGGGGCAGCAATGACCGAAAACCTCTGGGTTTTGCTACTTAAAGATCATAAAATTGATGTTGTGTTGTAGGCAGCGAGCAGTTAAAAGAGCGACCTTAAATTACAGAGCATTAACATGGCAGCCAGTGCCAGAGCCTGGGCCAGGCCCCAGGCAAGGCCCAGAAAAGTGTAATCCTGGCTACCCAGAACCAAGTTTTAATCTTTCTTTTCTATTTTTTTGGCCTGAATTACACCAAATGACACATAAATCTTTCATCTGTCGGTACAAATCCTGTTGGGGATGTGTGGGGGGTGACGGGTGGTTGGTTGTAAAATAGGTGAAAAGTGAAGTTTAAAATTCATTGTCAGTTTGGAAAATTCAAAAATCCCCCCAAATTGGCATATAAAAAAATAACAATTTTGTAGATGTATTTTTTTTCTGGACATAAAGAAATTGAGGCTTCATCCTGCCACATGCCAAAATGTGGGTTCAGACCTTAAATAGAAATCTATGGGCCCTGTGGGGCAGGGCCAAGATAGGGGCAGGGCACCCCCAAATTGCAAAGTTTATGGGTCAGACAGGGACAGGGACCTCCAAACTCTCCAGGTTGTGGGTCGGACCAGGACAGGGCACCCCAAACTCTGTGGGGCAGGACACCCCAAACTCCCCAGGTTGTGGGTCAGACAGGGACAAGGCACCCCAAACCCTTTGGTGACAGGGCACCCCCAACTCTTTGGGGCAAGACACCCACAAACTTGACAGGTCATGGGGAAGACAGGGACAGGGCACCCCAAACTCTGTGAGGCAGGGCCAGGATGGGTACCAGGTACCCCCACACTCCACAGGTAGGGGGCCAGACACGGACAGTCTTTGACTTCTTTCCCCGATCCTTCTCTAAAGTGAAAACTGTAGGGTCGCTTGAAATCATACCACCATCCTTTTGCCATTCCGGATGATTTAGCCACAGAAAGAAAAAATCAACGTAAGGCACTTCCTCCTGTTTCCTTTCCCTCCAACAAAATGACATCGATTCTAGCATGGTATGCCAGAGAGTTTATGAGTTTGCAAGGGGGCTGTTTGGGGTGAAAGGGGGTCCAGGCAAGGTGCAGAGGGTCTGGTTGGGATGCAGGATGGCCAGACAGGGTGCAGGGCATCTTGTCGGTGTGTAATCTGTGTCGTAATCGTATTAGAGTTGCTGACCGATCGGTGTCTAATAGGAGCATTTGGAAAAGCACCAACCTGTGATTTGGGTGTATAAAAGAAGCACGTGCACCTGCCGTTAGGTGTGCTCGATTCAAGGAAAATCCCTCGAGCACACAGGCCCGAATAAAAGACAGTATTGCTCCTGAGCCTGTTAAGATCACCTTATTGCAGGCCGGGTACCAACGCCCCCCCGCCCCGCTCCCCACGGGCTCCAGCTGTGGGCTGGGGCCGGGGCAGCTCAGGTGGGACCGGTGAGGTGAGGATGGGACCGGGCCAAGGTTTTAAATAGGCTGCAGCTGGGGAGCTGGGGAGCTGGGGCTGGACTGGGGCAGCCCCAGGGGCAGCCGGTGAGGCTGCGGGTGGGGCCGGCCCCGCCGTGCCGAGGGGCTCCAGCTGGGAGTCGGGGGCGGGGGGGCTGCCCGCCCGCGGGAGCTGGCCGAGGAGCGGAAGAAAGAGAGTCTCAGCCGCGTCTGCCCGCGGCCAGGAGCGGCCGGTCCGTGCGGCGAGGAAGGATTCCTCCCGGCCGGCCCCGACGGGGCGCAGCACCGGCGCCGGGAGCTCGGCGCCCCCGAGCCGCCGGGTGGCCGGGAAGCCTCGCGGGGGAGGCGCTCGGAGGCGCGTGCCGCCCGCCCCCGCGTGGGTGAGGGTCGGGCAGCCGGCGCTGCGGAGGTGGGAAGGGGCGGAGGCGGAGAGA